CTTTCATAATATACATAATATACATAAATAATATGTATTGTTTGTTAAATAAATAATATAATACCATTCAAAAATATAAATTGTGGAAACAAATAAATTGATGTAACATTACGTAGATACAGATTTTCAAATACTAATATATAAAATAAATTAGTATATATATATATATATATAGTTTCATATAGTGTAACATTTATATTAATATCAGAATGTTTAACATTTAAAATATATGTGTTGGATGAATAATAAATGAGATAAGAAACTTTTTGTTTCCATATTTTCAAAATCATCGGGATGAATAAATTTTACTGACAACAGTACTTACGTAATTAATTTTCTTTTGAGAATATGCTTCTTTGATGTATTAATGTTTGTATTAATGTTGTATTAATTAAAGATGTCTATTATTAAATACTACTATTATAAAGTCTACTATTATAAAATATAAAATAATACTACTGTATTATATAATAGAATAAATAAAAGTAAATCTATTATAAAATACTGAATACTATAAAACGATAAAATTCAATAAAATTGATAAACTTTTAAATTAATTTGGTCACTTATAATTGTTTTTTCTTTCTAAAAACATAAAAATAAAATATTTATTCGTTGTAAAGATAGTACAGATAAGATTTTAAAGATTATTACAAAAATGAAAACAAAATTTGTATTTTTTCAGAAAATTTATAATTTGTATAAATTCCTAATTTTCTCGATACTAATTCGATAAACAGATTTTAATAATTTTTACAAACGGATTTTGAATCTAATGAATCGTGTTCATTTTTTTAATGATAGAGTAGGTAGGATATGTAGGGTGTAACAAACTGACTTTACTCTACTAACCTGCCAAATCTATTGGCAATAATCCCTCCACTGAAACCACCGAGCATTCCACCGATGGCAAATATGCTGACTGCTACTGAATAGAGCCTCTGTACAGAGTCTTCAGAAATATCTTCGCCATATCGATCTTTATACACATCTTTCATAAAGTTTTCGATGTTCTACAAGAAAAGATATAATTACCAATGTTCGAGCATTTGAGCTTTGTATAGTGATGAAGTTAACATGATTGAAAAATTATAATTTTATGAAAAGAAAAAAGAAAAAAGAAAAATTTCAGTTGTATTTATTTTTCGAAAAATACTTTTAAAATTAAATAAAAGAAGCAAATATGCATTAAATTAAATAATAAAACATACCATAACTTATATTAGAAATTAAATGATTTTTTATGTAATTTGGAGCTATTTCACTGCTTTTCATAAAATTTATCAGGTCATATAATTATAACTACATAATAAAGATATTTGCTTAGAAACTAAAAAAAATTTATTTTACAATTAACTTTCAGTCTTTTTTTAAACATATTCATTTACAAAACAATAATATATATGTAATTCAATCACAATCATAATAGTTCATAAATCTAATTAACACTTATAATAAAATTCAATTACCTTTTCTGGTGCATTTATAACACCAGTGTTGTATCCAAACTGCAGCATACCTAACACCGCTGCCAATATTGCGTATGACAGGAAGAATGTTAGCCCCTGTAAAATATAGAAATGTTATTAAAATTTTTAAATTAAAAGTGACGTGAAGTAATAATAATCTCAAATTCATTAAAGTCTATTAACTAATAACAAAAAATATAAGTAAAAATATACATTATAAATTCTTACAAAATTAGATTAAAACATAATAACAACAATAAGAACATCAATAATAAAATAATATATAAATAAATAAATAAATGTGTGTGTGTGTGTGTGTGTGTGTGTGTGTTCGTGTGTGAATGTTTCGCGCGTGTGTAGGTGAGTAAATAAAAAGATTATTTAAATATTAAAGATATATTTTTATTTTAATGATATTTTAGATTTTACATAACTAAAAAATGCTAAAACTGACAAGTGGTTATGTCAACTTCATTCTAACTTTTGTAAATTAAATATGTAAATTATTCATTTAATTCATTTCGAAACGGAAATCAATTACAACAATTTAGTTGAATTTTGTATAATATATTCAAAAATATATTTTCAATAATAGAAATAAATTTAATAAATAAAAATAATTTAATTAAAATAACGACAGGTTACAAAAAATTTTATAAAAATTCTAACATTCGAAAAACGCCTTTTACACCTAAATTAGTTAGGTGTCATAAATTATTACAAACATACGTTTAATTATTGGCGACTTAAATAATAGCTTAACTGTAAATATATCATTTAAAATTATATGATACTGTGAATAATGAAATCAAATTATCATAAAGCTTATTGATTTGATGATTCAATTCAATTTCACAGTGCATTTCAATAAAATAACAAATATACGATTTAAAATAGAAAAATACATACGAGACAGACATGTAACATTAAACTAATAATAATAATAACAATAGTAATAATAATAATAATGATAATAATAATAATAATAATAATAATAATAATAATAATAATAATAATAATAATATAAAATTCTAAAAATAAGTGATAGTTAAATATTGTATGTTAAATGTATAATTATAAATTTAAGAAAGAAATTAATGTAACTTAGAATATGTAAAGTACAACTGAAACACTGAACATAATAGTGAAAAAAATCATGATTTGGTATTATTTTTATATAGCGTGCATCAATTATTGAAATTGAACCTGTTCTAAGAGCCTAAGTTTTCTTCGATGTGAATGTTCCTCTAATCGATCCACATACACTCTCAATTCTTCTATTTCCTCCTTCACCTGCTGCACTGTGTCCAACTCATGCTGTACAATAATAAATATTTTTTACATAATTATTATTATATACGTGTTATTTTATTTATTTATCCTTATAACTATTTGGTAATTTTCATTATTTTATAATAAAAATATTCTGTAATTTTGTATTATTAAAATTAGTCATATTTATGAAATATATTATAAAATCAAGAGGTAAAGAAGAGTAATTTCAATATCATTATAACATATGTTTGTGAAATTTTTAAACGAAATTAACTTCTCGAAATTAATAAGTTCCTAAAAAATCTAATCTTTCTACCAGCAGACCCATTGCAAAGCAAAGCTTCCCGTCCAAAATCAAATACATGTTCAGCCTAAGGTCGCGCCCCCCTTAACTTACCTTGATTGCCACCATATCTCGCTTGACCTCGCTGACCTCGCTCTGGCAAGACTCGAGAAGTTGCGTACGGATCTCGCAGAGAGCTACAGTTGTCTCCAGTTGTCGATCGCCACGTTGAAGCTCATCCAGTTTCGCGCTCAGATTCATGCTCATCACGCTCACCTGCTTCTGCAGACTGAGGTGGTAGATCGGCACGAGAAGATAAAGATCCAGCGGCACGTATACACGAGCGCCAAAATGAATAATTTCTTATATAAGCAGTTTAAAGCTCCCGCTCTTACCGATTAGTTTTTAACTTTATTTTTACTTTTTTAAAGGAGCTAACACGTTTAATACACTCTAACAAAAGTTACATTTTTGTCTGAAATCATATATTTTTTAAAAATAAACAAATTTTAGCGATTTATTGACAAAATTGCTTGTTTTTGGTGATTTCGCAGATAATAATTATATATGTACGGTGACTTAGAGTGACTCAGAAAAACTAAAAACACTTATCCATACTTGCATTTGATTATTAGCTGGAGTAATTATATTTAAAAGTAATTTATTAAATTTACATAAATTTAATAATCGAGCGCGATTATCTTTTTGCAATGAAAATTTCATCAATGTAAATTCTATTTATGAATAAAATATAATTACAATTTTATTAGGCTTAGGCATAGGCTATTATATATATATACATATATAATATAAACGTTTTAAATTATTATAATTATTATTAATTGGAAAAGGATTTATTTAGAATATTATACATTTTATATCATAAGATAAAAATATTTTTTTACTATTTAGATTTTATATTTACTATATTTATATTTATACTAAAATTTATATTTTTACTAATTTACTATTTTTTAACTATATACATATATATATATATATATATATATATATATATATATATATATAAGGATATTTAATGTTTATTAAATGTACATTAATATACATTATCTTTAAATATAAAATATTAATATGTTATGTTTATTACGTTTATTTTTGATAGCTTAGCCAAATTGCTTACATAGGATAAAAATTATATAAAATTATGGTACTGTTTTGATTTTTTAATTATTCTCGTTCATAAGCAATCATTTGAATTTAATGCACTTTTTAAGAAATTTTGTCTTTATTTCAAATGTTCAAATACTATAATATATCATAAAAAATACTGAGTGTATTTCAACGTGTGTAAAATAAAATTCTTTCTTTCTCTGTCATTATTAATTACTTATCTGTATTTTTACAAATTTTTTTTGTACAATATAAAAACTGCCGAGTTTATAATTCGTCATTCATTACTTACTGCAGCTCACAAGATTATAAATTTTTTTTTCAAAATGCATTCACACTAGAATGATTTTATCTGCATTTATTTTATTGTTACGTACTAAATTTTAGGCTATGCACTTTTGATTTTTAAATAAAATTTTTAATTTTTTAAAAATTAGTGTAATATACGATATACACACAATAAATGATTGTACTATAATTCAAAAAATTTTGACTTGAAATTTTCATTTGCTATTTTTTCATTTGTTTTTTATTTTATATTTGGATATTATATTACAAACATTTTAATGCTGCTATCTTTAATATTTTTTATATATACATATATTTTTTATTTTTCATTATATAAGTTTTTCATTGTTAAATTACTATTAAAACTTTATCATTAAATAGACATTGTACGCATTTAAATGATCACAATTATTTCCTTTTGTAACTTTGAAAATAAATTTTTTTGCATTACATTATTTACATTATTTTCTTTGCAAATATTTACATATAAAATATTTTCAGGAAATTTTGTAAAATTTATCTTAATTTAAATATAAAAATTTATTATAATATAATATAATTTTCATTTATCACCCATAAGAATACTTATCGTTTACGATTTTAAAAATATCGCGCTTGAATAAGTAATTTGTAAAATTAATAAATTAAATGCAGCACGAATTAAAAAATTGTATTTGATATTGAAAATGCTAGATAGTTTAAAATTTTTAGATTAAGAATAACATTTTTGCAGCGTATACAATATATACACTTAGAAAGTATTTTAATTTGTTAATGTCTTCGATAATTTAATTAAAGATGTATGTAATTTGATAACTATTCATATTTATAAATAATTTATTTCTACTGTACTTAATCTTTTCGTGAATTTCTAATAGAATCTCAATTAAGTTAATTTTTTTTTATTTCTTTTATTATCAGGCTACTATTGAAGAAAAAGTATATAATACAATTCATGTATTGAATTTTGGGTGATTGAGTATATTCAGATTATAAGTATGATATGAATAAGACAAATAATAACAGAAAATTTCAAGTTCATTGTTGTTGGAATAATATATTTGAAATTCATTACGTTAAAAATAATGTTTAAAATCATTGTTGTATAGCCTTATAAAACTACATATTTCTCGGCAGCAATATAAAAATTAAAATGTAACAATACATTTAATCTATAATATTAAAAGAAAACAACACAAATAAAATATATATACCACTAAAAGCATGTCTAAAATAGGTGTGTACATAGTGATTGTAAGGTGAAATATATAATTCTACTAGTGATTTAACAGCTGTGCACATTAGAATAGAGTCACGCAGTCCTAGATCTATTTTTCGGAATTATAATTAAAGTCTAATGTGACTTCCATGAAGCGTCGAAAAAATAAAGAAAATTGTTAAATAATACTTACATTTTTATTAATATGTTATAAATATAGGTAAAATGATTTTTTTTTTATTTTACTTCTATAACATAGTATACAGATTTTTTAAATGAAGATAATATGATGGAAAAAAATTCTATTTGTATATTGTTATTAATAAAATTGAGTGATTTATTATTTATTAAATTCTAATAATAAAATTATTTTATAGACATTGTGTGACAGTTAAATTTGAATGATATAGTTTTGTTTTAAAAATTACCATTGTAAATATTATATGATGTAAATACTCGAAATATTCAGAACTTAATGAAAAATTTACAAAAAAGCTCAAAAGTTTTAAACATAATTTAATTTAAAAAGTACATAAATTAATAAAATATAATAGTTAATATACAATGTATCTATTCAAGTATGTAACCTGTAATTGTGTTTAAATATTAAATAACATTTTCCTTGACAAACAACGAATAATAATATTTAAAACACGTAATTAATTATTCCAAAAAAAAATTTATATTTGTCGACGTTTTATCGAAGTCTTTAAAAAGAGATTAAATATTTATGCTAAATGAAAAACATAATTATCACTCTTATAAATAAATCAATGATTGTACAAAGTATGTATTCTGTTGTTCTCAAAACGGAGTATGAGCTTTTGGAAAATGATATATAAATTAATAAGATACAATTACGATGATAATTAATAAAACTATTAAATGTAATGCTTTGTTTAAAGAAGTAATGTTCAACTAAATTGTAAATGTAAAAAGAACTTAAGAAATATTATATGGAACATTGACCGATGTGCACAGCAAAAGTAAAAATTAGTGCTTTTCGCGAGGAACTGGTGGAAAATGTAGACTTTGGATAAGTATTTTGTTTCATTTACGTTGCATGAAATTATGATTATAAAGTCGGTGAAATGCAGCAGAAATGAATGAGCGTATGATTTTGAATGAACAGCTCTGAAAGAGAAAGACTGAAACATTGGATCAGTTCATACCGATATTTAAATTAACTTTGTTTCTATTATTTGTAAAGTTAATATTTCTCGTTTATCTATCTCCTATTTATTTTATTGTACAATTACATCATTTGTTCTTGAAATAATAATATAGTTTCTATTTGATCATAAAATAATTATTGATAAAAATTCAATTTTCAAAATATTATAAAAAATAAAATTGTATTCGACTGCCAAGTTCGAGAATTTTTTTATTAAAAAAATCAAAAAATCTTTTTAATTGTGCATCCCCTCTTTTATCTCTCAAATATTCATAATATTAAAATTTTTTAAATATAAATTTCTAGATTAAATTGTATATTTTTAAATTCTCGAACTTGATTTTAAATATAATAAATGACGGCATATCCATAATCCTCGTCAATAAGCCTCGGTATAAACTCAACCATAAATAAATTACAATAGAAAGATGAAAACTGAAAATGAAATAAAAAATGTAAGAAACATATCTAGAATAGATAGAAGCAAAATAAAAATATGAACACGATGACATCAAACTTCTCGCTACTTTCAATAAATACATTGAATATTCAGTTTAACTTGAATATACTTCTTACTTCTAATACTAAAATACACAAAGTGCATATTTAAATTAAATTAATGTCTTTATAATGTATTTATAAATTAGCTTAAATAATTTAACTATAATTTATAAAATTTAAACAAGTAAAACTATTTAATTTTATTCAAACATTTTATTTGATATCGTTGTATTCAAAATTCGAGATAGACAAAACCAATAAATATTATAATTTATATATTTAATGAAATATCTGTTCTGTTTGAATAGAAAATATTTCAATTATTACAATTGAGCAAAAAGCGTTTATTTTCATCCTGGTAAGTGACGCGTAAAAAGCCTCTAAAAACCAATAGTTCAACTTAAATATTAGACTTTCACTTTTTCGACTAGATATTCTCATTTCAACTTAACTGGCAATAATTATGCACTTATTTATCCACATTAACCTCAATTTATAATTACAATAGTAAATCAGGTATCAAAAAAAAAAAAAATAAAAAAAAAAATAAAAAAAAAATTGTAATAACAAGATATGTCTATATGCATATATATTTAAATTTGGGTAAAACTGTATTGAATAAAATTTTACAAAAAAAGAAAAAAATTTTTAAGAATTTACAAAAAAAATATTAAATAAACATCTCTTGAAATACATAAATTTATAAGAGTAATAGCAAGTTCCAAGTAAGACGTTTTCGTGCAAGCCGAAAATTAAAAATAATAATAAAGCAATACAAGTAACAAAAAACTGACGAGCATACGATCGAAGGCCAATAAATAAAATATAAAGCAGCGATGATGTCGGTATGTACCTGGGAGGTAGGGAGACCATGGCTGTGTTCCGAAACTACAGTAACCCCCGAGGGCTCCGTCAATCTCACACTTTTTTCTCTTTTCTCTTTCTTTCGCTTTCTCTTTTCCCCCTTTTCTCTTTC